CTTATACCCTGGCCTGCAGTTTGAAATCAGTGAGTTTTCTGGAAAGGAATGGAAGGCGGTGGGAAACCCAATACCCCTAGAGGGGAGAACACAGCATTTCTGGCTTTGCCTATAACCAGGCCTGTCCTGCTGCCTCTGGAAGTTCTCTTGGCTGCTCCTGGTTCTGAGGGCTCTTTTCTCCTCCGTGTACCTCTAGTTCTAACCATCTGGGGTAGCCTGGTATTTAAGGTCTTCTGCTTTGGGTCTTTTTATGATTGTGTTAGGTCTTCCTGCTAGACTGTGCATACCCAGAGGGCACGGACTGGGGCTTATGTATTTTAGCATAGTGCTGGGCTCAGTAGTGCCTTAATAAATGCTGACCAATGAGCACCTGACACATTCTCTCTCTCCTCAGTTGCTATGTCCACCACAGGGGACAAGATTCTTGATACTGCACTCTCTAAGGTAACAACATCTTCTCCCTAGTCCTTGTCCACCTTCATCTTTCCTTCCCCACGAAGATTCACCTAGGCTCTTTCCTACCCCGGCAGATTGGAGAGAAGAGCCTGTTTACCAAGGAGCTGGAACATGCCCTGGAGAGGAATGAGTAAGTGAACACAGGAGAGTATAGCAGCTTCCCAGCCTTGCCCTGGAACCCCGACGTATGCAAGACCTGATGTCAGCTAGGCTGCTGGGCTTAAACCCGTGGGTAGGCTCAGGGGGGCTTGTAAGTGGCTTTTTTCAGAATTTAGAAAAGGAGGGTGTCCTGGTTCTAAGCTGCCTGGACTGTAAGACTGGCTGGGGAAAAGGGGCAAAGGGGAGAGTGGGAGGAAAGCAGGTCTCAGGGGTCTTGGGAAGCCTGATCTCTGCATTGCCCTAGACTACCACTGAAATAGAGGTGGGGGTGGGTGGAGAAGGGGTCGCAGCCTGCTGTTTGCAAACTTTGTCCTTGCCTTCCTCTTCCGTCTCTCTAGAGTAGACCTTGTTGTCCACTCCCTGAAGGACCTGCCCACTGTGCTTCCTCCTGCCTTCACCATTGGCGCCATCTGCAAGTAAGGGAGCCTGGGCAGGGGTAGGCATCATATAAACCTTTGCTTTTTCCTTTGGGACTTTGCCCTCAACCTTGAGGGCTGTTTCCTCTGCCTGGAGGACTGTTGAGCCTGGCAGAAAACTCAGTTGGCTATGGAGAGAGAATGGAGGTGACCTGAACTGAAATCTCCCCCATTCTGTAAACTTACTTCCTCCTCTAGGCGGGAAAACCCTTGTGATGCTGTTGTCTTTCACCCAAAATTTGTTGGGAAGACCCTAGAAACCTTGCCAGAGAGGAGGTGAGTGAAGCCTGGATAGGTACCTTGTGTAGGGTGTGTGCAGAGGGTGGGGGGCATGTGGGCAGGAGGAGAGGAATGATGGCTGCCTAGTGTTGAATCTCATTTTAATCCTCTGGGCAGTGTGGTGGGAACCAGCTCCCTAAGGAGAGCGGCTCAGCTGCAGAGAAAGTTCCCACATCTGGAATTCAGAAGTATTGTATCCTTTCAGAAAAGGGAGCGGGCTGTAACCAAGGAGGAAGACAAGGTCTAGATGGCTCTGGGAGTCCTGCGAGTGGACAGGGCTTCCAGAGCAAGTGGTCCACAGGGTCAGTAGCCTGTCTGTCCTCCACCCACCCATTTATAATCCTTTAATGTTTTGTTTTGTTTTGTTTTGTTTTTGAGATGGAGTCTCAGTATGTCGCCCTCTGTCGAGTGCTGCTGTCACAGCTCAGGCTTAAGCGATTCTCTTGCCTCAGCCTCCTAAATAGCGGGGACTACAGGGGCCTGCCACAATATCTAGCTCTTTTTTGTTGTTGCAGTTGTCATCGTTTAGCTGGCCCAGGCTGGGTTCAAACCCACCAGCCTTGGTATATGTGGCTGGTGCTGTAACCACTGTCTTACGGGCGCCAAGCCCCTATAGTGTTTTCTTAGACCCAGGCAAATGCCTGGTACTGGGGATAGTGGTAAGCAAGGTGAACACTGTCCCTGCCTGTATGGAGTTTACATTTTACTTAGGGAGACAGAGAGATGACTGTGAATATTGAATGATACTGAATAGTGACTGCTCCTGGGGGGTAGAGAGTGCTTCCATTTTTATTTATAGGCTACTATATTGTTTTGATTTTTACAGTGAATATGTAGTACATTTCATAAAACTGATTTTAAAAATAGTATGTGGTGAGTGCTCCAATGAATGAAGAAGGAAATTCTCGGGAAGCTTCTAGCTGGAACATCTGAATATAGACTTGGGGGTCGGGGAAGGTTTCTCAGAGGTTTTATAGACTTGGACAAGTGATTTAACCCCTCAGCATCCTTTTTCTGTTCTTTGAAATGGGGATAATAGTAATACCCCCGCCCCCATGGAGTTGTGAGAATGAAATGAGTTGACAGATGGAAAGCACTTTTAGAAGTGTCTGGCATGTAGTAAGTATGACGTAAGTGTTAGCTATTATCATTAAGCTGAAAACTGGAAGATGAGTAGAATTCAGCCAAATAGAGAGGGAACAGCATGACACTCCAGATTGCCCAGTACTCCTTAGCATCTCTTCACAGCGGGGAAACCTGAACACCAGGCTTCGGAAGCTGGATGAGCTGCAGGAGTTCAGCGCCATCATCCTGGCAGTAGCTGGCCTGCAGCGCATGGGCTGGCAGAACCGTCTGGGGCAGGTAGGGGCTGCCCTTGCCCCTTCCCCAGTAAATTTGCATCTCCTTCCTGCCTGTATAGTTGATGCCTGATTTAAGATGGTTAGATTTAGGATTTTTCAACTTTATGATGAAGTGAAAGCGGTACTCATTCAGTAGAAACCATGCTTTGAGATTCTGTTTTTTCACTTTCAGTACAGTATTCAATAAATTACAAGAGATATTCAACCCTTTATTATAAAAGTAGGCTTTGTGTTAGATGATTTTACTGAACTGTAGGCTAATGTGTTCTTAGCACATTTAAGGTAGGCTAGGCTAAGCTGTGATGTTCACAGTAGGTTAGGTGCATTAAAAGCTTTTTCAACTTGTGATGTTTTCAGCTTAGGAAGGACTTATCAGAATGTTAACCCACTGTAAGTCTAGGGGCATCTGTATTCTCTTCTTGACCACCCCACCTCTAACACCACAAGCTGGGAAGATTGGAAATCAGAGGTCAGATTCCTATTTGTGCCTACCCTGGCTTTCTATTTGATAGGGAAGCCCCATCTCACTGCCAGGTCCTTTTAGGCATCACTATCTCCACCCTTCTGCCTGTTCTTCCTCCACAGATCTTGCATCCTGAGGAATGCATGTATGCTGTGGGCCAGGTATGCTTGACCAGAGTAGCCACATATTGATGTACCCCCTTCCCTTTGCTCTCAACCAAGAAGCTGGTTTCATGGCCTTCTATACCTGCTTCCCCCAGAATAACATTCTCAGCAAGGGGAAGGCCTTGGGATGCTACTGGTCCAAAAGGCCCTGGGGAACCAGTGGAAGGGTGGTTCCCATCCTGGCTCCATTGGTTGGAGAAAGATCAAGCCTGATGTCCTAGGCTGTTTTTTCCACTAGGGGGCCCTGGGTGTGGAAGTCCGAGCCAAAGACCAGGACATCTTGGATCTAGTGGGTGTATTGCATGATCCTGAGACTCTACTTCGCTGCATTGCTGAAAGGGCCTTCCTGAGGCACCTGGTAGGACCTGTTCTCCACCTGTGAAGGGCTGGGGACTTGGGAAGCTGGGAAAGGTAGTTGGGAGATTTCTCATCGGTGCTTTATATGTAGTGATAACTCATTCTTGTTGGATGTTGTATATGGAGAGAACCTAGGTCTAAGCCTGCAGCCATCTTTTCAGTTTTGTCCTGAGAGGTCTGTGTATCTCTGAGGGATATGGTCAGTGTGGTGTTAAGGACCCTTGAAGCCAACAGGAACTTCTCATTGCAGGAAGGAGGCTGCAGTGTGCCAGTAGCTGTGCATACAGATATAAAGGATGGGCAGGCAAGTAGGAAAATGGGCAGCAGGGCAGGGACTGTGGCATTTCTCCCTGTGCATCCCAGGTTTCTAAACAATTGATATGCTGAGGCCACTGTTTTCTTCTCCAGCTATACCTGACTGGAGGAGTCTGGAGTCTAGATGGCTCAGATAGCATGCAAGAAACTATGCAGGCTACCATCCATGTCCCTGCCCAGGTACCAAGACTGGAGGCCGGGGGGTGGGGGGGGTGGGAATGAGGGGTTCATAAATGAGAGCTGTAGTCTTCACTTTCATCCTCATTGAACCCCACCTCCTCCTTCTCCTGTACAGCATGTAGATGGCCCTGAGGATGATCCGCAGCTGGTAGGCATCACTGCCCGGAACATTCCACGAGGAGCCCAGTTGGCTGCTGAGAACCTGGGCATCAGCCTGGCTAGCTTGTTGCTGAGCAAAGGAGCCAAGAACATCCTGGATGTTGCACGGCAACTTAATGATGCCCACTAACTGGTCTATGAGTGCACAGATGCCTGGGTCACATATCCTGTGCCTTACATCTTGGCTCTCAAGTGCCCCATTCTCACTGCTAACTGGGGAGTGATTACTCCAGGAGAGTGAACTGCAGGGTCCAAGACTTCCAGGGACTTGCTTCATGTTGGGGCCTTAGTGACTGCCTTACCTCCTGAAAAAGTGGAGACTTCAACTCTTTCAGAGAAAGGCCAAACCACAGCCTTTGAATGTAACCAACTCTACTAATAAATTAGTCCTTAAGGTAGTTTTTGACTTTTTTATGGAAGGGAGACATAGGGGTGGGGTGGGGGGAGACCATTTTAAAGAGAGACCATAAAGACCAAAAACATTTTAATCTTTACGTCCAAAGTTCTCCTGGAACACCCCGTTTCTGCCTCAATAGTTTCATTTCAAACTGTCTCCCAGGAACACTAAGAAAGAGAACCATAATCTTAAAATGCTATGCCTATTCAAAACAGTCCCACTATCAACAAAACATACAAAGTCATCAGCTCTACAACCCTTGCAAAATGACAACACAAAGACGGTTCATTTTTTAAAAACAATCCTTTAATAAAATTAGTCCATCTAAAACTCCCCAATACCTAAGGTTCTAGTCTTGGATGAGTTAGCTGCAAAATTCCAGTTCAGAAGCCAACACAGGCTCAGTCCAGACAGGGATTAACCGACTTGTGCTGGTATCTAGGCGCTTGGATTGTTAAATTGCGTCGCTGGAAGGGCAATGGGGCGGAGTAGGTAGGCCCCACAGGCCTGGCTGCCAGTCTGTTTCAGGGAAAGCACAACTGCTGTCCACACGGCCAGCTGTTAAGCCGGCCTCCAGGTCTTTGCCCTCCCCAAACGTCTTCCTAGGAGGCAGTCCTCTGGAAGAAGGGCGTGCACGTACCAAGTGCCAGGTCCCGGCCACACCGCACAGGCCTATGAATGAAGATGGAGGGAGATCGGATGTGGAGGGTCTGGGGCTTGGCAGCAAAGGGGGCAGCAAACCAAAATAAGCAATCCGTGTCTTTCCCAAAGCCTGGAAATAACAGTCATGTCTGAAAAGTCCCGGGCTAAGCACCAAGCTGGAGAAGTAGCAGACGGCTGGGCTGCAGATGCTGAGGGACTCACCTTCAGGGTCGCCAGCCTCTCGGCCTCGGCTGCCCCTTCCGCGCAACCTCAGAGCAGAACGCCGAGTCTTCCAGAAGGCGCGGCGGCCTTTGCGGGGCCCATCAGCGAGTCGGAGGGCCGGGCGGCGGAGTCACGAGTGCCGAGGCGGCCAGGTGCTGCGCCCCGGCCGCCCCTGGGAAGGCGCCCGAGAGACCTGGAGCCCTTCCTCCGAGGAGATGGGACAGGCCCGAGCGCCACGGACCCGGCCGGAGGCCGACGCGGTGAGCCGTGCGGGCGCGGGGCGGGGGCGCTGAGGCGGGGGGCCGGGCGGCGGCGCGCAAAGGGAGGGAAGCCGGGCGGCACGGCCCGCCCGTCCGGCGGCCCGACGTGGCTCAGCTCTTTCCGTGAGGGCGGTGGTGGCCCTTAAAAGGGCCTTTGTGGTGGCATGGGGAGGACTGGGCGGCCGCGGCGCGGGTGCCCCTCAGTACTCCTGAGAGGCCTGGGTGGTCTTCTTGCCGCCGGCGGGCGTCTTCGGCCCCACGGTGGCGCTGGTCTTCTTGGGCAGCAGCACGGCCTGGATGTTGGGCAGGACACCTCCCTGGGCGATCGTCACGCCGCCCAGTAGCTTGTTGAGCTCCTCGTCGTTGCGGATGGCTAGCTGGAGATGGCGGGGGATGATCCGCGTCTTCTTGTTGTCGCGGGCCGCGTTGCCGGCCAGCTCCAGGATCTCGGCGGTGAGATATTCCAGCACCGCCGCCAAGTACACCGGCGCGCCGGCGCCGACTCGCTCGGCGTAGTGGCCCTTCCGCAGCAGCCGGTGCACGCGGCCCACCGGGAACTGGAGACCGGCGCGCGATGAGCGCGACTTGGCTTTAGCACGGGCCTTGCCGCCGGTTTTGCCGCGGCCCGACATATTGCGCGAGGTAGACCGGTGAAGAGCAACCCCTCACAGAGACTGGAAAACACAGACTCGCCGCAGTCTAACTGCCACCGCGCGCGCCGCGAGGCCTGCCTTATAAGCCCCCAGGCACACCTCCGCGGCCTCCTGATTGGCTCTTTTCTCTAAAACCCGCCTCCGGTTGGCTGCCGTTAACCCTTCAGTGTCGCACCTCGGCTGTGGGAGCGCGCCCGCCGATTGGTCGAATTTGAAAACCTTTCGCCCGGGGAAAAACGCGAGCAGAAGTAGCTGCACGCGAGCGGCCAACTACCCGCGGTGTGGCCAATCCTTGTAAAGCGCGCGAGATTTAAACGCTACAGCCGGCGAACAGAACCGGAAGATAAAAGGAATAGAGTCTGAAGCCACCTAGAGAGCCTCTGGGAAATCTGTGCTGGCCTAGGATTTTTAGAAGAAATGGGTCAATACTACAGCTATCTCTGCTTCCCTTTCTGGCAAAGGAAGAGTGGAAAAGAGGAGAAATGAGATCTCATGCCAGAGAACATGAGATATTATTATTAATATTATATTAATATTATTATTAATATTTATTCAACATGTTCTGTCTGACCTCAATTCTGTTAAATTCTTGCTAGAAGAGACGTGGTGGGGCACAGAGATAGGCATCCTCTTGGAGGAGGTACCCTCACCAACCCCCCAATCTATCCTAAAATGCCCATATAAGAAATATACCTACAGCACCATCAATAAGAAAAAGACAACACTTTATTGTCACAATTGGGAGCACCTGGCCCCCTAGTCTGCTCTTACTAATCAAAACCCTTAATTTATAGTCAAAAATCAAGTGACCTTGAAGCCTGTGTCCTTAGCTCCAGGTTCTATCCCAAGGCCCAGCATACTCCTTAAGAATCAGGACTATGAAATTTGAGTTGTGGATAACTACATAAAAGTTGCTGCATCCCACCTTGTGAGGCTCCAAAAAATGGGATGGAAAGGGAGAAAGCCATAGGCAAAGTTCAATCAGTAGTCATTAGAGGGCAAGAAAGGCCCAGAATGTCAATAATCAAGGGGGAAGGAAAATGCTGAGAACAAAATCTGGGGGCATATGAAGAGCAGGAAACGCCTGGGCCAGGAGACAGCCTTGGTGCAGACAGAGGAATCCTAGAGGCTGAGGTAAAGGTCAATGATCAGGAGACTCAGACATCATAGAAGAGTCGGACAAGCTGGTATCGAATGGAGAAGGTGATGACACTGCCCAAGATCTGCAAGGAAAAATGGAATGGAGTAAGAATCATGAAAAAAAGGAGACAAGGAGGTATAAACCCTATCCCCAACCTACCTGCAGCAGCAGCAGGAGTAATGTGAGGTTTTTCTCATGTATGGGTCCAAACACTTTAAGTAGCAAGTTGATGAGGGTCATGTTGTTACACTCAGTGAATTCACCATCCTCATTCTCACTCTGGCGTACTGTCACTAGCCTGAGGCTCTCTGCTACCTGGAGGGGCCAGAAGTGAAGAGAACTTCAGTTAATACCTATGCTTTAGGAATGGGGATATGCTTAATGTTTCCAAGAATCCCTCACATATGATGCAGGCCTAGGTTCCCCATTCCCCAAGTTCAAGATGGTAACCTAGGGCCTTACCTCCTTGTTACCCTGTTACCTTTAGAATAAAGGTGCCCAAAAAAGAGAGGCTCTTGGTCTTGAACTTGGAATAGCTCATCTCCAGTTTGCCTGTCTTGATATTGAGTCTGCGGGGGGGAAGATAGCTGTATGTGACTGGACCACTACTCCAAGAACTCTCCTCTCTGTGGTTAATTAACAGGAAGAGTACTGAAAATGGAGTCAACCTGAGATCTATTTCTGGCTCTGCTGCTTACTACTACTGTGTGGTCAGAATGGCTGTGAACATTAACTGAGATTATGTAAATAAATGTTCTTAGTAAGTTTAAAGGGCTATCCAGATGGAAACAGGCCTTCTTGGCCCTATTCCTTTTACACAGCAAATATAGGCTGGCTTTAGATATCCCAAGAGAAAAGGCTATGATGATGTCCCTTTCAAACCCCAAAGCAGCTACCTGGGCACACGGTGGCGAGGGCAGGGGATGATATGCAGGAGCTGAGGCAGTGAGTAGAGGAAGTTGAACACCTGGGGCATGAAGAAGAGTAGCATGGTCTTGCTGAAGTGTCCCAAGATGCCCACCACGGCAAAGGTCATGCCAGCAAAGTAACAGAAGGTATCTCCCACAAACACCCGTGATGGGTACCTGTGTGGGGGGAGAGCATCTGAGCTAGTGGCAAGAGGCCTTACCAGTCTTTTCTCTCACATCACACTCTAAGCATTTGCCTAGCTCTGATCCTAGTTCTGACTCAGAGGAGACTCCAGCTGCCCTAGTAACTATATAGGATCCAAGACCCTGAATTCATCTATTTTGGGGGGACCCCATAGCACTTAACCCCAACTACTGGTGGCTAGAGAGCCAGTTCAGAATATGACCAACTGAAGACCCAGGAAACACTTAACACAGGTATGCACAGGTTCAGCCTTTCCACCAGGAAGAGGGTTATGATCCAGACCATTGTTGCCATGTGTTCAGATAGTTTTGATGAGGGCCTACTTACCAGTTATGGTAGAGCAATCCCAAAGTAGTGAAAAAAAAGGGTATCATGAAGTACAGGGAAAAGACATGATCATCCCGATAATCACCTTTGGAAGCAGGGGAAAAAAAAAGAAGGCACGGTTAATACCCACACACCCACTTCCCCTGCAGATCTTGGTCTTAGTCTTTCTGTTTTTTTTCTTGAGACAGTGTCACTTTGTCACCCTCAGTAGAGTACTGTGGCATCACAGCTAGCAGCAACCTCAAATTCTTGGGCTCAAGCAATCCTCTTGCCTCAGCCTCCCAAGTAGCTGGGACTACAGGCACCCAGCACAATGCCTGGCTATTTTTAGAGACAAGGTCTCACTCTGGTTCAGGCTGGTTTTGAACTTGTGAGCTCAGATGATCCACCTGCCTCGGCCTCCCAGAGTGCTAGGATTACAGGCGTGAGTCACCGCACCTGGCCTCTTGGTCTTGGTCTTATTTTTGTCTGTCTCTAAGTTCTGTCCTCAGCTGTATTGTTTACCTCGCTCAAGTCACTTTTAAGAACTCAGTACTTCTTTTGTATCACAAAGTCTTCATGAAAGAAGTTTACTGTCTTAAATGTGGTTTAGACCATTCTGACCTAGGTTTGAATACCAGCTTTACTCCCTAGCTGTGTGATCTCGATCATGATGCATATAACTTCACTAAGCTGCAGTTTTCTCATTAGTAAGATAGGGTTGATGATAACACCTGCCACATAAAGCCACTGCAAGATTTAAATAAAATAATGTTCGAAAAGTGCTCAGCTTTAGTGAGCACTTGTTGATGTCCATTAACCAAAGACCACCAGAAACACATCTATAGTCAAAGTTAGGTTTACCAACTTGTGACAAGGGAGACTTCAGAAACAACACACCATGAGACTTTAGAAACAAAACACGCAGAATGTCTTAGGAAGGGGATATTAGGAAGGGCTCATTGTAGAATTTGTTTAGGGAGATTCTGGGGAGGGTGTATGGATGTAGAGTTTTGCTCTGGACTGGGTGCTATCAGAAAGTAGGGGACAGAGCACCTTAACTTTTATCTAAGTAGGGGTAGCTACTTAGGAGATGTTATTGGAAAGAAGCAGCAGCCCGTCATGTTAACTGGTCATTTTGTAGGTTGCCCAGTGTTCTTGTGGTTTTTGTCTGTGTTGACATGATTATGGAGAGAAGGGTTTTTTTTTTTTTTTTTTTTAAGAGACCAAGTCTTACTTTATTGCCCTTGGTAGAGTAGCCTGGCATCACAGCTCACAGCAACCTTAAACTCCTGGGCTCAAGTGATCCTCATGCCTCAGCCTCCCAAGTAGCTGGGACTACAGGTGCCTGCCACAATGCCTGGCTTTTTTTTTGGTTGCAATTTGGCCGGGGCCGGGTTTGAACCCACCACCCTTGGTATATGGGGCTGGCACCCTACTCACTGAGCCAGAGGTGCCGTCCAGGGTTTGGTTTTTGTCTTGCTTTATCATTGGTCACTCTATGTTGTCTAATGTTGGGGTTCTATGAAATTGCTATGTTCAGTATGAACAGATCATGGCCTACCTGTTAGTGCCAATCCAGCTATAAATGACACGTCTGCTTTTTTCTTTCTTTCTTTCTTTTGAGATGTGATTTTGGTCTGTCACCCAGCCTGAAGTACAGTGGCATGATTATAGCTCATTGCAGCCTCAAACTCCTGGGCTCAAGCAATCTTCCCACCTCAGCCTTCTGAATAACTAGGATTTAGGCGCCAAGTCACCACACCTGGCTTTGTGGACTGCTATTTTTATTTCTCACTTTTATTTTATTTTTTATTTTGTTTGAGACAGAGCCTCAAGCTATCACCCTGGGTAGAGTGCCATGCGTCATAGTTCACAGCAACTTCAAACTCCTGGGTTTAAGGGATTCTCTTGCCTCAGCCTCCTGAGTAGCTGGGACTACAGGTGCCCGCCATAACGCCTGGCTATTTTTTGGTTGTAGTTGACATTGTTTGGCAGGCCCAGGCTGGATTCGAACCAGCCAGCTCTGGTGTATGTGGCTGGCGCCTTAGCCGCTTGAGCTACAGGCGCCACCCATCTCACGTTTAATAAATCTTCATTGTTACTTGAAAGGTAAATATTTCCCTACATGTATAGAATATATATGTATAACAATATATAATTATTTTCTATAATTACTTACATATGGCTTTTCCCCCTGAATTTCCCGAAGTCATATATCAGGCAACTCCCTTAACACTCAGATTTCTCTCTCTCGCCCCACCCTCAATCCCACCTACCTTCCAGCTCCACCAGGTTGAAGACAATGATGGAAGCAGAAATGACTAGTGACTGGCCAGCCTCTAGGCCATTAATTCCTGCTAGAATATTGATGGCATTGGTACAGAACACGGCCAGCAGCCCCATGTAGACATAGTACAAGATTCCTGGGGGAAGACAAAGTAGGAAGAGAAGTTGTGCCACTTAGGGAAGGAGGATTTAAGAATTT